TCTATATTCGATTTTTCCTTGTAGATGTCGTCATGGGATCGAGTGGATACAATTTGTGAATTGGTATCGTTCCTGAATATATATGAACTTCGGTTATTGGGTGCGTGCGTGGAAGGAGCGGCGCGACCAGCATCTTCGACCCCTACGATGCGGCAGCACGAAACTCGCTCTAATTGCCCACAATTTATCAGCACAATGGCTACGGAGATGTTAGTCCAGTAAATAGAAATATTTTGCTCAGTTATTACGGGAATTTCAGGAGCCAGATCCCATATGCTCTCAAAGTAGAAGCTGCTTATAATGTTGTTTGTTTGCTGAACTCTACAAATCGCCAAGGTGCACATGCTCTGATCCGACTCATAGATCATTTGATGACAATCAGAGATCTGGAGTTGGAAATGCTTTCAACTGATGAGGCTCGTCGTGAAGTACTCATCAATCTCGGCAAACTAGGCAAGTAGCATGTGTTGATTAGTTTTTGGTGTTTTTGTTGCAATTTACTGAAAAGTCCGAGTAGATTTGAATATGCAGCATTGTTGGCAATCTAACGAGAATCGAGACCTACAGACTTGGGTGGGAAGATAGGCCATAGTCGAGCCGTACTTGATCGTCTTGATCCGCTTGATCCTTTCATGCAAGCCGCTTACTAAATTGTCATTTGGCGTCACGTAGGTAAAAGTTCTTTTCTATGGTTGCGCACTCGCTATACGCTACGCCAAATGACAAATTAGTGACCGCGCGCTTTGCACCAAGCAGATCAGAGGATCAAGTATGGCTCCTGGCTACGTGGCTTTCGCGCCCGCACTAGTGATCTTGCTTTTGCGCCTTCATTTGGCACTAGCCTCTACGACTGCATTACCGCTCACTACAGAAATGAAAAGAAAAGGTGTTTACAAGAAAATATGTCTAAATTTTCACATTTCAGTCTCCGCTTCAATCCATCATCCTGCATTTTCTGTTGATCAGCGGATTCGCATGGTTCATGCTCGTGATGATATAAGAAGCCGATTGGAACAACTCATTGCGCGAATGAACCCTCCTCCTGTGCCCTCCTCTGCCTCCAACGATAGCAAGTCAATCCCAGCGAGCTGTAGAAGCTCTCCCTTAGCAGGAGGATTTGCATTTGTGAGACGCTTTCATGCTACGCAACCCGACCCTGATGATCCGGACAATTTTTTGGTTGAGGTGGGACTCTTTTTTATAATTTTTCTGTGGAAAATTCATCTTGGTCATTGTAGATGATTTGGAGTGATGGCGAACGTACATTTGTTGGACGCACTCGAAAAGATATTAATACATTACACCATCGTTTATTGGATATGTTCGGTGAAGAACGGCGAGAGCTGAAACAAGCACAGGAAGCCGAAACTGAGCAACCAGAATCGGCTTGTTCTTCACGAACGCCATCTCCTACCGCCACTGACTCGAATGCTACCCCAACACCAGCTGTCGGTACGTCTCTATTCTCACTATGTATATGATCTTGTTTAAACTGCAATTTCATACTCAGGATCTTCCGCATTGCGAATATTGCCATATTTTTCTATGGAAAGTTCACCTGCAGCTGTTATCCAGTATATCAATGCACTTTCGGATTTGCCCGCACGAATGATGTTAAGCTCAGTCATCTACGAACAATTTTTTGCTTCTCGGCTTAGCTCGGAAGAAGTTGAGGTATATATTTAATTCAATTCATTCTGATTTTGAACTAGTTACATGCTAATCTTTCCCCCTTCTATCATAAAAAATCAGCAGTGGTTAATTAGGTAGCAGAACGTCCGATGAGAAATAATTCTCCTCAACCACAACGGTTCCGCAATCCTGCTTCCGCTCCCGCCACTTTTCCTGTCGCTTCTGCAGCATTAGCTTACAGCTCGCGCGGTATGGGCATCCAGGTGAGTGGAATTCCCGTAATTTGACATTTAGCTTTGCCTAGAGTTGCATAAGGTATTCGCATAAGGCAAGACGATGAAAGCTGCATTTGTAATAAATTTCAACTTCACTGCTTACGAAAGAATGCGTCGTATATGTGACTTCATTGTCGCTGAACCCGAATTTTGCAAATAACGAATGTTTTGTACGCACTATTTGTCTGCATGTAACATGTGATTTGTGACTTTTTGTCAAAGCGCTGCGTAGTGTGCATGTCTTGTCCGCATGAGTTCAAAATAATTTTTCAACGACGAAGGGTTTAGTCAAAATCACGATCATTTGTGTTTCTGTGCAATTTACTTTTCTCATAATTTTACAGGAGTCAAATTCGGAACAAAATGACGAAAATTCGGCTCAGGAGAAAATTCCTCAGACTCAGGTACTGAGGCGTAGATGACTTTACTTCTTACTGCTCGCCCTTAAATTATCTGCGATGATCTGCACGAGTCTCACAGTGTGACAGCGGCAATTCTTCGTTTAGTCTGCACTTAAAAGCTGTTCAGCAGTGCTCAGCACAGATTTGCTTTGCCAATGAAGATTAGCTTCACGGGTTCTGATTACGCAAAAGCATGTGCGTGTGCTGTAATTCTAAAATCTCAGCTGCGGCCAAGCGCGGCGTTTTAACCGTCGAAGTAAATATCATTTTGGCTTTTAGATACTCACTAGTATCTGAACGCAACCATTTGAAGAGGATATTGCTTGTAGATTTGGCAACAATTTGATTTTGATGGGTGGGAAAGGAAGAAAAAATGTCTACACGTTGTTTTGCATGTTACAGGTACAATTTCCTTCATGCAGCAATTGCGCAGGAGCTCATGCTTTTGTTCAGTGTCCCAAAGATACTCCGCTCCAGAAAGAAGGTGCAGCACATTTTTCTTTTTCCCTTCATATTTTTTGATTTTTTCCTTCCTTTTTTTAAAATTTCAGTAAGTGCGCTTCTTCTAGGTACATTCCGGCTGGATTTTGGCGGTGGAGTTCATGACAGTACATGCCCAAACTGTTCGGCTGTAGCAATGGCCGCTGCCGCCATTGGTCCGCGACCAACAGGAGTTGAACATTTCCCTAATTTACCTCCTGGCTTGATGCCACCCCCGGCAATGATGCCGTTAGTCCCCGGGATGCCGATGCTGGCGCGGCACTTCTCCCCTTACGTCTTCCGCCAAACTCCACCCCCTCCGACATCACAGCCACATCCACATTTATGATAATGTCTGCTCTGCATCTTACGAGCGTTTTTTCTGATACCGGTAGCTAAATGTATGGTTGAAGTCCTGATCACAAAGGCTTGTCGTCACAGAAAGCA